TTCAAATGAGAAAAATACACAAGAAAAAAAAAACAGCCTAACGAAGAGCTTGCTTACAGAAATCTCAGAGCCATAAGCTAGAGAAAAAAAAATCAAACCATTAAAGTGGTGTAATAGGGCATGCTGTTGTCTATCCAATTTAGTGATTCTTTTTAGAGCTTGCTCTAAAAAAAAAAAGAAGAAAGAAGGAAGAAGGAAGAAGAAAGAAGAAAGAAGGAAGAAGGAAGAAGAAAGAAGGAAGAAGAAAGAAGGGAGAAGGGAGAAGGGAGAAGGGAGAAGGGAGAAGAGGAAGAAGGGAGAAGAGGAAGAAGAAAGAAGAAGGAAGAAGAAAGAAGGGAGAAGGGAGAAGGGAGAAGGGAGAAGAGGAAGAAGGGAGAAGAGGAAGAAGGGAGAAGAGGAAGAAGGAAGAAGAGGAAGAAGGAGGAAGAAGGAAGAAGAAGAAGGAAGAAGGAAGAAGGAAGAAGAAGAAGGAAGAAGGAAGAAGGAGAAGAAGAAGGCTTATTTAATAACAATAGCATATACTCACTCATTATAATTTAAATCCAAGTAAGCAATTCGGATTCCACTTTTGATAACCTCATAATTACTTTCAGAACCCTAAGAAGAAATCAAAGAATTTGTAGTTACAACATTTGAATTTGTAGTTACTTTTAGTTGCTAAAGTACAAGTTTATTGCTCAACATAACAGAAGTAGAGCTCATTTTAGTAAATGCAGGGAGCCTAACGTCCGAGCCCGTTGTGTCCAGAGGGCTGCTCAGTAACTTGTTGAAGTGACACTAAAGTCACAAATGCTACTCCCCCCATCCCCCCAACATTTAAAAAAGGTAGCAACGTACATCTGTCTACGCCGCTCGCTCTTGGCTAAAGATCTGATGCTTCTTGAGCAGCGGTGCAGGAGGATGAGAGTGGGCACATGCACAGTAAAGATCATTGGCAGGGAGAAGAGGAGAGACACAGTGGAGATGAATGCATGCAGCCGGAAGCGTGCATGCCGGTCAGGCACCATGGAACACAAGCAGTCTGTGCTGGATCAGAGACCGGCACCAGTGCTGGGAGAATTGCTGAGTGGAAGGAAGAGGAGGATCGGGTCAAGAGGCATCATTTAAGGTAAGTCCTTAAAACAGCATGTTAAATAGTTAGCTGCTGTATTATAGACAACTAGGTCCAATAATTGGTATAACTGAAGCGCTGTATATTCAGTTATACTAATCACAGTGCTGCCTGTCCCAGCTGTCAGGAACTGCACAGAACATCTGTTCAGTGTTGGAGGGCAAGTTCCATAAAGTGAACTTGTCACCTCCAAACTATCACATGGGGGATTTTAAGCCCCGATGTGATAAGAATAACATTAAGTTGGGGGGGG